GGGGGTAGAGGGAGGGGGAGAGAGGTGGGGATGAAGGAGGGGGGAGAGAGAGAAGAAGGAAGAGAAGGAGAAAAAGAAGACGAGCACCCCCCCCCCCCCCCCTTGGTCAAGGGCGACATGGTGTTGGGCGTACTCAGCAACATGAGCCTTGCAGCACCAGATGGCTGTGCAGAAGCGCCGACAGCCGGACGGGAAGGTACCCGGCGTTTTCGGGGTCTGATGGGAGTAGTGGTAGGAGCGTGGCCGCGAGGCGTAATACCTGCGCCGGGTCCGGGCCCTGGCGCGATGACGGCTGCTGCTGCTGCTGCGCGAGCTCGACCGCGACCGTGACCGCGACCGCGACCGCGACCGGCCGCCCGAACGACGACCGCCTCTCATGGTGTCTCGTGCGGACCGCGATACGGGCAAGGGAAGGGCGACAGGCAGGTGGCTGGGTTGGGTGGGTGCGACGGAGAAAGTGCGAGGGAGAGGGAGAAGCAGGCGGAAGGGGGTCGATAGGGGGCAGGGGGGGATGGCGACGGTTGGTCACGGGCAGCCACTTGCCCTCGAATTCAATGTGCGCAAACCGAAAGAAAGGCCCTGCCAGCCCATTCCCCAGTTTGTCGTGTCCTCCCGTGCCGCCCGCCTCCCACGGCTGATGGGGGGGGGGGGGAATGGGAGCATTGTCGGCCGGGGGCGGGATCAAGACATGTGCCCGTTAGCAGGGCCCGCAGGGCACGGTGAGATCGTCCTGGAGCAGGCGCGCCCAGGAGGGCAGGGGGGGGGGGGGAAACATCCCTCGGCCCTTCGTAGTCAGGTTGGGAGCTGCATGACCACGTTCCCCCAGCGCTCCGTGTGCAGGCAGGCCCCGGGGCGGGGCCGAAGAATGGCAGGTCGGGGGGGAAATGCCCGCATAAAGCCGGACGCCGCGCAGGGGCGGCGCGCTCCCTTCCTCCGCCGTCCCAGGCCCCATCCTGCCGGAAGTTCCTCACCTCCGGCGGGAACGAATAACATTGAGCGGATAACGGGGTCAAAGGGGGCGGGGGGGACCCGCGGCCGTTTCCGTTGTTTCCGCGCGGGTGCGACCCGGGCGCGGCGTCTCAATCCCTCAGCAAGGGCAGCCGGTGGGGACACACTCGCACACGCAGATACACGCGACCGGGGCCCCGC